AAATTGTGCTTTGCATCAAGAGAAATGGACAAGACGGAGTCTCCTCCCCCCCCCATTTTCTCAAAGCACCATACTAGGATTATAAATATAGTTGCTCAGAAGAAGATCTAGAACAAATAAAAGAAAATAAGTTTTTCACATAAAACATTTACTGTAGAATTCATTACAAGGCATGCTGGTGGCTATTAACTTGAATGGTATAAAGGAGGACTAAATGAGCTCATTAGGGTTAAGTCTGTGAAGAGCTATTAGGTTTTGTTGGGCATGTCTCCAACTACAGTACAATAACTTGGGAGAGGGACATCTCCTATTTGCAAGAGGCATTTGAGTGGCCATTATAAGGAACAAAATCCTTATTCAACATAGATCTTGTCCTAATTGAACAAGGACATTCTTAATATTCTTAATCAATGAAATTAATAGCAGTGATCTCTTCCCAGCCATCGTCCAGGAGTTAAAACATGATATGTTTGTTAAGGTTCAAGGAAGTGAGAAATTTAATGAAAAATAGAATTGTATTTTCTATAACTTCTAATTTCTCTTAGATTTTTATTCATTTAGAAAATTAATAAAAATTGTAATAAATAGGAAAATTAATAAAAGTGCTAATTAATGTATACTACTGTGCAAATCAACATTGTAGCACATCTTGTTGTATTTTATGATAGTCTGTAACACCTTGTCTTAAAATCCATAATTATTTAAATATTTGCATTATTAATACTTTCTATGTGTGATTGTTTTTATTTGACAATGCATGCATTTTTATCTTTGTGTTTTTTTCATTTCTCTGTCATTATTTAAAAAGCAATAAAAATTAATTTAAAAAGACTTCACTCTATTTATATGCTAAAATGGGTAAATTGGCTATCAGATGACACATCAGAACAGCTGAGAAGTAAGCAATGATTTAGAAAGGAGAGTTGATTACTGCAACAGTGACCTACTTAGCAAATACGTTGCTTCTGTTTCTGCACTATTAAAAAAATGTGCCACTACTCTCCAGAATGCCTGCCTTGCATAGTATGTTTCTGTTACTACACAACATCCACCATCAAGGCTTTCTTTCTCCCAGGTCTTCCAAGCACTATTGTGCTTCCCCTGCCACCAGATGTTCTGCAGTACGTATTAATTAGAGGATGTAATTTCCATATGGATGTTTTCCAGAGAAATCTTGCACACATGCCATAGAGACCTTGCAATAGATTTGATAATGGCCTGCTGTATATACACTGAGTACCACTTTGTGTAAACCAGCATCAAGTCACACATTATATTAATTGTGTAATTCTGAGCTAATTCTGCTGTTTATCCAACCTTAAAAATAAACACTGTTATATGGATTTGAGTGCTTCAATCTTTTTTTTCTTGTGCACTTGGTTTTGAATGGATGCAACCGAAAGATTTTTTTTAACTCTCTCCAAACTGACTTGAAGCAGCTTGAAGAGATGATGGATTAAACCACTCAACACAATATATGGTGTTTCTGATCTGAATGTGGGACTCTCCACCTTGAAATCCTGCAGATTAAAGAATTTTGTGGCAAATCACTAGGTGAGATGTCAAGGAAAAATCTAGTGCTCTTAATGAGTGACTGAAATGCAAAAATTGTAGATCTGGAGGCACAGTATGTAGAATCAGAAAGATTCAGATTGGGTAAATGTAATAATGTGACAGATAGACTAATAGACTTTTGCAGAGAGATTCCTTGTGTACTGCCAGCATTTGTTCAAGCAATATAAACAGACTCTAGATATAGACATCACCATATGGACAATACTGAAATTAAATAGACTAAATAATGAGAAACAGAAGCTAGTGAAATGTAATCTAGTCAGACAGGACAGGCTAGGTACAGATTGTGAAACAAACCATAAATTATTGGTGTCAGATATACAGATTAAATTTAGAACATTAAGTGACTACGTGTGCCAGCAAGATTTCACTTGAAGGTCAGTCAGAATATAAGATCAGTGTAAGGAACAGATTCAGTATAATAACTCATGCAATAGCAAACTAGGAATTATAAGAAGAGATAAGAGAGATCATGAAAGTTGAAGTGGAAAATGTATTTTCGGAGTTTCAAACAAGAAACAATCCAAGTGTTTTCAGAAGAAGGTATCATCAGAGCCAGGAGAAGAGAGAGAATAAAAACCTATGGCAACAAAACCATACAGTGACTGAACAGACTTTCAGTATGAAGTGTGAAAGGACAAGAAAAGATGTAGCAGTCAAAAATACCAAGAGATAAAGGAAATGAACAAGAAAATGAACATTACTAAAAATATTCATGCATTCAAAAATCAAAAGAATTGCAACAAAATTTAGGCCTAAGATGAATACCTAAAAATATTACAGAAGAGATTTGATGTGCTTAAAGGAAGATTAAAAAATCATGCTGACAACTTTTACAAATAGAATTATAAAGTGGAGCATTTGCAGAGCAAAAATGCATTTTAGAATTAGTTCTTGGGGAAAATGCGAAATAGAGGCAGTAGACCAGCAGTCAGATATGTCATTACCAGCCACAAAGCTCCCTGAACTATGTAAAACTTGGAATAGAAGAGGCAGTTAAAATACTAATAGTTTATTAGTGGGTGGCTGGGCTATTGTTTTTTATTTTTATTTTTGTTTATACTATGTTTTTATTGAAATGCTGTGAGGGAGTAGGCGGCTATATACATTTTATAAATACATAAATAAACAGCAGCATGCCAACAAATATGGAACAAGGGGAATTGAGATAAATTGGTGTATATACAGTATCTGTACTGAAGAAGAAGTAATCGAGAGAAGTTATAAATTACACAATGTTTCTTCACATAAACAGAATTTTGCTTAAGATCATGCTTGCAGAGACAAATCCTGCTATGAAAGAAGATTTTTGACAAGGCATCTGAGGTCAAATAACCAACAGAGGATGAATATGAGGAAAGCAAAAAAATTTAAAGAGGTTGATCTTTGCTTCCTTGATTACAGCTAGACCTTTAACTTTGTAGCTTGGGTCAGTACTCCAAGATTAATGGAATACATGATTATAGATCTGCAATAAACTATAAATGACAGTAAAAATGAATTCGCAGTGATTCAGTATGGAAAGTAAACTGAGACAAAGATGCATATTATCCCCATATCTCTCTTCTTCAGTGAATATAAGAGTGGCAGAGTGAAAGAAGTACTGGTGGCCCTACTTTGCTAAATGAAGGCCAAAAAAGATGCAAAAAACTCACTGAAATCACAGTTAATGGCAACCAAAATGTCATGGGACTGGGATGTCTGAGGACCATCTCTCCCCAGCCTGCTCTGCTCTGTTAGATCTGGTAGATAAGAGATGCTGAAAGGTACCATCAACTAGGGACCTGCATCTGTTGAGTCCCAAGAGACATACCTTTGCTGCTGAAGTGCCTGCCTTATGGACTATGCTATCCAATCCTGAAATTGGATTAGCTCCATCCAACTTTCTCTTCCACTGAATATAGCAGGGAACTGTCTGCATAATTCTGTCCTTGGAGGTATAGATGCATCTTGGCATTTGAATATTTTTTCCAAGTCTATCAGTTCCACTAAGTATTAGTCAACAGCATGTTTTCTGTATCTATAATCGATCCTAAATGGCAAAAGCTATCCACCACTTCGGTATTTTCATTGTCAGTTCTAAGGCTGGTTGCTGTGCCTGCTGTTATTAGTTTGGTCTTCTTTATATTTGATATTAGTCCCATTTTACTTACATAATAAGCCAATAAATATAATTAGTACACCATGGTTTCATCTATGTGTTATACATTATAACTTAATGTAATATTTAGTCACAGCAAGTTATGGGATTGGCGTCACCCATCTCACCCAAGCATAACTGTAAGATTAGAAACTATAGTTTTTCATCAAATCCAGACAGCTTGGTTAATTTTAAATGTTTCTATAATGAACCAGTGTCAGATCTTGCTTTATAAGGCTTCTTGTTTTTACAAGAGTACCATGTTTCAAGGATGTTTAAGTAAAAGTGAACACTTGAATTTTTTGTGGCTGTTCTAGAGAAGGGAAGCTTGTTCTGTAATGATATATAACATTGTTTGTTGTATTCCAACATAACCAATATTGATTATAATGGCAAGCAATTTTATAGAAATAAACCTAGCTTTTCCCTTCAGACTTTTATAGGCTCTATAAAAACAGATATAGGAAGAGCAGACTGAAGAATTTATTATATAAGTGCAAGTATTATAAAAAATAGGATTTGTTGAATAGCTAAATCCCTCAAGTGAAGAATAGGAGACCTGAAAAATCTAGCTTATGGATTAATAATAGGACTCACAGGTCTGTGTGCTATTTTACATTATGCATAGGTATTTTCTGGAAGGAGCATATCTCACAAATTTGAGTCTAAGGGATTCTTTAGAAAGCCCATGCAACTTAAAATAATATCCATATACTGATTATGATTAGCTGAAGTTTAGTCCATTATGTGGATTTATTTAGCAAGATGGTGATAGAGTAGAAATTTGATGCTAAAGTCTAATTTATTGGGGTGTATGGAATTGATCTTATTCAATTATGCATAACTTCTGAACAACTATTTGCTCAACAATCTTTACCAATAATTGATCCATTTCCAAAAGTTGACATACATGATAACTGTGTGTTAGAATGGAAATACTTTGTCACTAAATCATCATTTGCATGAAAATTCTGCAGATTTATCTCCTTGAAACACACGGCTTATACAGGAAAGAAGGAATTGTTTAAGCGAAATGATTTCTTTATTTTGTGTGTTGTGACAAAAAGGAAGTTTTAGCCATTAAAGCAAAAGTATTTTTATATAATTTTATAGAGGTTAATTCATATAAATTATTTTTTCTATAGATAAGAATGTACGTAATAAGGAAAAGGACCATTAAGGTCCTTCTTTTTAAATATTGTAGTGTGGAACACAGTAGTTAATAGCCATGTAGCTCATACACCTATTGATTTTTTTTCCTTATTCCTCTTCTTTTGTATCACAGATTTTTACAAGTGCCTTGACTACAAAGCTGGAAGGTGGATTATTTTTCCAAAAAACGCAAAGACCATGTGTGCATACCTGTAGAAATGGTTTGCGGCTTAATCAAGCTGGAGTTGACTAAATGAAGCTATGGGCTGTGCATCAGCCAAGCATGTTTCTGCTGTACAAAATGAAGAGGAAGCTCAGAAGGGGAAAAACTACCAGAATGGAGATGTATTTGGTGGTGAGTTTTATTTATTGTGGATCTATATTTTTCTTCATCCTTCTTACTTTCCTGCCTAAAATCTATTTGTTCATTGTTTCTCAACATTTAATTTCAGAGGATTTAATTTTGGAATGCAACTGGTAGTACTTATGAAAGAAGTAATCTCCTGAAAATCTGTGCTTCTTTCTAGCTCCGGCTTCACGTTACAATGTTTATAAAATGTGTTCAAACTATATGAATAGTCTCTGCGGCTACCTGTTACTGCAATTCTTTTCTCTTTTGAGATATTTCTAGTTATTTGGGTTGGGGCTTTTACTGCAGCTTTTGTTCCCACAAGGCTCTTTATATTCTACAGGAGTAGAATAATAATATAAAAATAAGAATATGCATAAGTTTTCATATATTTCTCCAGACAGTACTTTTTTTCCTTTTAAAATGTACGTTATTTTGGCCCAAAATTGTGTGTTTGTGTGTGTTCATGTGTGTGTGTGTGTGTTGTTTGTGCACAGTGTAGAACACTGGGAGACTGGGCGAAGGAAAACCTCACCTCCATCAGGGCCGAGCATATCTCGGGGGAGGCAAACAGACAAACGGACTTCCTAAGTAGGTCAACTGTGGATCACGCCAAATGGAGTCTGCATCCGGACCTATTTGCAGAAATAACACAGAGGTTCGGGCGACCAGTCGTAGACTTGTTTGCATCCCGGACAGATGCCCAACTCCCAAGGTTTTTCTCAAGGTTCCCATCGTCGGGGGCGGAGGAAATGGACGCCCTATGTTGCCCATGGCCAAGGGGCCTACTTTACGCATTTCCTCCTCTCCCGCTGATCCTGGCAACCATCTGCAAGATGTTGCAAGAGCGGGCGGAGATCATACTCGTGGCCCCACACTGGCCACAAAGACCGTGGTTCGCGGACCTGGTAAATCTCTCCAGGTTCCCCCCCCAATGGAGGATACCCCTGGACCAAGTGTCACTCAGCTAGGGGGATTTACAACATCCAGAACCCCAGTGGCTTCAGTTAACTGCCTGGCACTTGAACGTCAGATCTTGAGCAGGGAGTCGTACCCAGCAAGAGTAATCTCCATGATCCAAGCATCCCACCGACCGGCAACTAATCGCATCTATGACTCCACATGGAGAAATTTCTGCAGCTGGTGCGAGAAACGAACACTTGAGGTCTCGCGCCTAACTATTCCAAACATACTAGAATACTTGCTCGACAGGGCCTAGCACCGAACACCATTCGTAGACAGGTCACGGCATTATCCATTCTACTCACCTGCGCCAATACAGTTTCCTTGGCACAGCACCCCAGGATTCGCGCCTTCCTTAAGGGTGCAAAACCGCCCGTAGTTCACAGGTACCCCTCATGGGAACTACCACCAAGGCACCATTCGAACCCATGAAGTCTTACACTCTGAGGGCCCTATCCCTCAAAGTAACCTTTCTGGTCGCCATAACCTCGGCCAGACGCATTTCCGAACTCACGGCTCTGTTGGTCAGGGAGGACTTCTGCACCTTCCATCGGGACTGGGTGGTCCTCCAATTGGACCCAACCTTTATCCCCAAGGTTAACACCCTGTTCCATAGGGCCCAAGAAATCATACTACTGGATTTCTGTGCCAACCCGTCTCATGCCCTGGAACGACAGTGGCACACACTGGATGTCCGGAGGGTACTACAACATTACATCAGGCGAACGGATTTACGCAAATCAGAAGCTGTCTTCGTTTTGTTTCACCACATCTCTAGTGGACAGAAGGTGTCCGCCTCAACCATAGGCAGATGGATCAGACTTTGCATTGCGGAAGTGTATCAATCGCTTTCTCTACTAATACCAGGACAAATCACAGCGCATTCCACTCGCAGCGTTATGACCTCCGTGGTGTGGGCCTCTATTGAGGAGGTTTGCAGGGCAGCAACATGGTCTTCGCCTTCCCCGTTCATCCGACATTATAAGATAGATCATTTTGCCTCCTTCAGAAGGAGGGTCCTGCAACAGGTAATCTCTACAAACACAACTTCGACCTCTTATGTTTCCCACCCATTGGGACAGTGAGGCTTTGATATGTCCCATTGGTGGATTCTATGTCTTCAGTTCTGGAGAAGGGGCATTGTCTTACCTGAACACCTTTTCTCAGCACGGAGACGTAGAATCCACTCCCACCCTTAAAAGCCATTAAGATCATATTAGGGAACCGGGAGCCATCACATCGAATTGTAATCAGCTGCTTCGCCTTCATCAAGAATGGGGAGTGGCTACCCCAGGGCAGGCGTGACAAGTTGGCTGACCCGGTTTAATGGGCAGGAAGGCAGAGTTAACCCATTGGTGGATTCTACGTCTCCGTGCTGAGAAAAGGCATTCAGCTAAGACAACGCCCTTTCCCGATCAGTTGTTCCTTAGGATCTTGTTGAATTGCAAATAAATAGAATAGAATAGAATAGAATAGAATAATAACTTTATTGTCACTTTGAATGTACACTAATCAGCATACATTAAAATGAAATTTCATTGCATTCAACTCTCATAGGGTCCCCACTTCCGATATACACTACATAAATATGACAAAAATAAATAAATAAATACAGAATTATGTATATACCCACATATATTATATGACACAGAGAATAAGGTAAAATAATAAGATATATTTTCAATGAATTGTTGAAATTGATAATATTTCTCAAAGTTAAATGAAAAAGGGATAAACATTCCAAATAAGGATTAATGATTAATTCTATATTAATAAATGTACATATTTTCAAAGTCTCAGTATATATACTTGTTTAGAGTATTCCAGATAATGTGTGATAATACCTGTCATCTATTGAAGGGAAGATGATGATTGATACATTACTATATGAACTGATACATTACTATAAGTGTTACTAAAAGTAACTATTACTAAGAATAACTTCAAGTACATAGCATATGAGGGATATTAAACATTGCCGTTCATTGAAACTGGTCACTAATAGTAGTATAAAAAGCCTGGGAAATATGAAGCAATGGGGATCCAGGAACATACGTATGTAATACTTTTTTAAAAAATCCTTTATTTAGAAATAAATAAAGGGACACTTGTGCTGATGTCCATCACATTCCTGCTGGCCGTAAAGTTATTAAGAGTTAGAGCTGCAATTTAGCTGCAAGTATACGACATAGCTCTCCAGATGGTGCAGAAATATTAGGTACTCAATAATGGAGAATATAACCAGGAAAAATTACTTTTTCAATATTCTCTGCCCAGTGTATTGTAGAAGTTTTTTCTTAACCTGCTTTAATGTCTTGCTCTCTGTGGTATTGGAGGAAAGCAAAATGCATCCTGGAGAAACCTAAGATACTAGTCTACATATTCTTCCAATGTCCTTTCTACAACAAACTGAGTCTTAACCTTAAATCTGACTTTCTAACATAAATTCAGCCTGTTTGAAAATAATCTCATTTGGGGGGGGGGGACTGGGATCTTACTATCTCTAGGATAGATGCAAAAATTCTTTCAGCTATCATTCCTTTATGCAGAAAATTGGTCTCCTATTTTAAACCTCATATATATATACATAAACACTTTTTCTGCTGTTTTACTTTTTCTGCTGGTCACAAAAAGATGCACAGTCCCTGATGTGTTAGTATTTTAATACTTTAATCATAAAATAGTTTTTAAATTTAGTTTTAAATATTTAGATTTTTGGTATTCTATTTTTGTCTATAGCATTTAGAAGATTAAACCACTGTATTTATTTCTGTTGATCTAGAACATTTTTATCTTCTTACAAATACTATATAAATACTTGTTAGTCACTCTAATAAAGTACTATTACACTCCTGTTGTTTTGAGACCTCATAAACAATAGGAACAAATTTGTTAATCACTGAATCAAAAGTAAACAAAGAAGCAACACTGTGTACAATAAGTATTCTAACTCAGGGCTTTTCAACCAGTGGTACGGGTACCACCTGTGGTACATTGGCACCTGGCAGGTGGTACGCGACAATCCTAGAAAAGTGGTAGTGAGGGAGGAGAATGAGCTGAACCGGTAGCAGCACCTCACAAGCCTGAGCAAGAGAGGGCTGGAGCTACAGGGCTGTTAGGGCTCAGTGGAATCACCAGGATCAGTGTTGCTTTCCAGCTGATCTGCAGTTTTTTGGGGCTGTCAGGGCTCAGTGGAAGCACCAGGATCAGCGCCAGGTTCCGGCTGGAGCTTGGTGCTCATCCTGGCACTTCTGCTAAGCCCAGAAGAAGCGCCGATCAGCTGGAATGTTGCAGCATCTCCAGGGTCTTGTGATTTACATTCAGATGCTTGGCAACTGATTCATATTTATGACAGTCACAATGTCCCAGGGTCATGTGAAGTGACCAAAACCTGCTGCAACCACCCAGCAGACGGGGGAATAAAAACCAAACACCCCCCACCCCACCCCTGCTGCCAATCCTCAACAGAAATGCTCACAACAATAAAAACCTCGGACAGGAGGAAGAGTGCGGCCTGGTGGGCAGGCAAGTGTCTTGATCAGCTGTGGCTTAGGGGGCACTTTTTCAGTGCCATTGTAACTTCGAACAGTCACTAAGCGAACTGTTGTAAGTCGAGGACTACCTGTACTTCATCACTTTTTTCCTTTTCTTTTTTTTCCTTTTTTTTTTTTGGTCATCAAGTTTTTGACACCTTGCTAGGCGACTGGTGGTACTCGGATGTTGCTATATCCTAAAAGTGGTAAAATGGGTGAAAAGGTTGAAAAGCCCTGGTCTAATTCTCCTTGTCTGATAAAAATGCCAGTGTTCCTGTGAGAAAGAAGAAATTTTTGTTTTGCAGCAGGATAAGAAAATGGGAAAAGCACAGTTTGTTTTTGTTTTGTGCATGTTCTTCCCATCTCTATTTAAAATTGACTTAGTTTATCAATTACCAATGTTTT